GTAAGTTGTTTTTTAAAGATCATTCAGAATGAGTTAGTAAATGATTAACAAACTCTTCAAATAAGATTTATATTACTTATTTTTCAGGCATATACTAATAGCTAATTTGTATATTATTAAAGCATTTATTAACTTAACTTCATCCAGTTTTGTGACTCAATTTAAAGTAAGTACTATTTATACTTTATAAATCCCCTTTAATTGACAATTAAAGGCTCAGTATTATTCTAAACATTGGATATATAAACATAAACAAGAAAAAAGAACATGAACGACATTTTTATAATTTGAAGAGACACAAATGAAACTGTATCAAATGAAAAACGAATCTTTGCAACCTTAACTAAAATAAATAAAATTAATAATAAATTAAAATGAATAATAAGATATGTGAACATTCTGAATGAACTTAAAAAACATTGACTAGTAAATACAAATAGTTTGTAAATAATACGATACTAAATTTAGTAATGAAAAATAAATCACTCACAAATTACGAAAGTACAATTATTACCCACATTAAACATGTGCTTATAAAGTCAAGAATAGAACGTTTGTAACAACAACTGCTTACTAACATTTATTAATGTAGCGGTAATGCTTAACAAATAATGAATTCACTATTTGCTAAGGCTTAACAGAAGATTCATAGTGTGTATTTATTATAAAATGTTTGCCATTAGTTTTTATAACTTCTAACAACTTCTATTATTGCTTCATTAACAATTTGTTTAATAAATTAATTTAATAAACCAATTAACTATGTAAAGAGTTCTGATGCAAAACCCTCTAAATCCATCAGACCTCTTCTCTTGTAAATGAGCATTTTCTATCAGGCTCCTATAATTAGGCTCAGAAGTTTCATTTTATATGTAATGAAAAAGTTATAATCTAGTAAATAAAATAATTTTTCTTTTTCATAAATGTCACTTTAGAAAATTCGTTGGTTTTTAACAAGATAGATTTTCTTTTGCATCAAAACCAGCTAAATCCACCTCTGCTTTTTTTGCAAAAACCTCTAAATCCTCTTATCGGGACAAGACAGTGTATTTAGTCAAAAAAAATTCTAAATATGCAATTAGAAATTATTTTTCCAAACATAAAAAACATTACACAAACCACCTAAAATTAAAAATACATCTTAATGTATGGCAGTTCATTCTGCTGTGGTAAACCAAACAAAAAGCAGAAGGAAAATAAATGAATGGAAAATGCAGGAAATGCATTAATCAATATCATTAAAACTGACATCAACTAAATCTTAAGTCATTTCTGATATTTAGGATTTAGATTTAATGCAGGTAGAGCAATGTAAACATTGTAAAATAGGCTTGGTAGATTCAAATATTAGTTTAAAACATTGTGAAACATCAATATCTGTGCATTGTCCATTAATATACAAAGCTTATCAGACATATAGGTAATATGAAGTAGGCTAATATAAATGTATAGTTTTATGCATTATATTTATCTTTTAAAAAGTAGCTTACATTAGCAGATAAATCACTAGGTGGGCCTACAAAAAGGGGATAACCCTCAGACAATTTTTGCCATAGCATCCATGTAAACCTCACTGAACTGAACTTAAACACTAAAAACTGAACTACCCTGATGCAGTTACTATGACCATTTATGTGAAGCTGCTTTGACACAATCTACATTGTAAAAGCGCTATACAAATAAAGCTGAATTGAATTGAATGTGGGATAAAAAAAAGAGGCAACTTAACTCTGTCTTTTGTTAAATGAAGTTGTCGTTTAATATATAGTAAATCGAACTCATTCAAAGTAGCACCCCTGACCGAACAAATGCTATGACTGCATGCTACACTTCCGACTGTTCTGACTTGTGTTTTCTTTTTTTTATAATGCACAGTTTTAAGGTTAGGGACGTTTTCATTTGCCATCCACTGACAGTCGGACAGGCTCATCCAGTTCATCAATATTCGTCTTTTAAAATCTAAATCGAAAGCGGAATAAAACATTCTCTTCATAAAAGTCGGCATATCAGTGCGCTGATACATTGAAAACATATGATTCGATTCACAACTTCTGATTGGTTCTCAGGATATAGTGGCTTTTGCTGTCAAAGGCAAGGGGCGTTTAGCGGCTTTTGTGTACAAAATGTTATTTCTAAACAAGCTGACGCTATGATTTAGATGATTTGAAGCAAATCTATTTGTTGTACATGTATTATGTGCCAAAAGCATTCACTTAATGTCATTATCTCAGTTTTGGCAGAAATGGTGTTTAGCGGCTTTGGCATCTAAACTCTTCATGATATGTTGGGTTACCTCGGAGCAGTGTAGTTTTCTAAATTATAATAAACTTTAAACACAAAATGTGGATGTAATTGGAAATTGTTCAAAAAGAAAGAAAGAAAGAAAGAAAGAAAGAAAGAAAGAAAGAAAGAAAGAAAGAAAGAAAGAAAGAAATTACTCTGACTCTATACAGGTTCCAAAGCCTTGAAGGGTAGATCATTGTAAGAATAGATTAGAGGAATGCATTTGTGTGTGTGTTTGTATTTATAGGCTGTCAGTGTAATGGACAGTAGGGCTGCTGTGTGTGTGTAACTCCATTAGCTCTCTATGCTTCTTGCCAAAGGGACTAACAGTGCTCGACTCACACACCCACTAATACTCAGGCAAAGACGGAGACGTGGCGTGGGATCGACCAGCCAGCCCTGCTAATGACCACAGTCACATCACAAAGCACTTCCACTGCCCTGCGAGCATGTGTGGATGAGTGCTTGTGGATCAGAGACAAAGATGTGAGACAAGCACAAATAGAAGCCATAGATGCATCCGGTCTCACGGGGTATACGTTTGAATGTGTGTGTGTGTGTGTGTCTGTGTGTTTTGTGAGATCTAATGAAGTTGTGTGTGCATTGAGTTTGTTTAAGTATATTAGCCATGTTCCATATGACTCTTTCCAAAACACAGCAGGACCCACTATTCAGTCTTTCTCTCTGTCCATCTGTCTGTCTCGCACAACTCATGTTGTTTATTTGGTGAAACAAATCATTTTTTTTCTCTCTAGATAATGGCTTTTTACATAGATGTATTGCCATACATCCAGACTCTCAGCAAACTACTGTTTTTGTAAGTGTACTTGTAACTTTTCTTAAAGGTAAATAATGACAACTTTGTAAGCCAAATTATTTCAAAAAGTATGCTTGAATTAAAACAGCCTTTTCAGTCAACTTAAAAAAAAGAAATGGCACAACTTTAACCACTGAAGCTTAATGAAATCAAAATTTCTTTGCAGCTGGTTGCTTTAAAATTTTAAGTTAACTCAGTTTTTTATTTTTTACAGTGTATTAAAAAGGAATGATGTTCGATCCCATCCATATCATAAAGAATACCCTTAAATAATGTAGTATTAGCTGTCTGCAAGTATCGGTGTTTATTGAGATTGAAATAAGATTAAAAAAATCTAACTTGAGATAAGATACATTGTTATAGCAACATTAGCAATATTTGTAACTGCTTTGGAAAATAACGCTCACCATAGATGGGAAGACTAATTGTGAAGAAAAAAAAAACATGTAGTCTGCCACATTTGTTACCCAAGACAAGTCAAGGTTTTATCAAGAAAAAAAAAATTACATAATAAGACAAAGTGACTCCAGTGTGGTAACCGAAAAAGTTGATAATAATCGTGTGGTCTGACCGAGGCTTAAGCCAACAACACATGTGGTCAAGTAATGCATTTTAACATTTTACTTATCAGCATAAAGCCATAAATAGCCTAATCAGCATACATTTCCACCCATTTCTCTGATTTCACCTACCATGTAAATACCTACGACAAGCTTACTGTGGTGCACAGGTTATTTGTGACAATAAAGCATCTTCAAAGAAGATCCAGCTGTATTATTTTTGGAAATCACATTCTCTTTCTTGACCCAAGAAATTATAAATAATTTTTTTCAGATTACGCATATGTAGGACAACATAAGAGAATAATAAGTCTGTGAAAGATTCCCCAGAGTACTCTAGAGATTTTAATCATTCATTTAACATCACAACTTTCATAACTAATGTAACACTATAGTCAGACTATAAGTATATTTACTGTAGATTTTGAAGTCACCACATAAAATAATCATATTTTTAAAATACATTTTGTGAAGGCATTTATATTGCATTATTGGAGAATTGACTTGGCATGAAAACCAATAAAAAGGCTTATTTCACTCTTGAAAGTGTCTAAGTGTGGATGTAAACATGTTTAACGATATAATAGAATATACTAATAATTTAATACAGTCCCATTTAAATGTTTTAATTTAAAGTAAAGTAAGTACAACAACTGATTCTTATATAAAGACCATGCAACAGGTTGAAAAAAATAATCCAAGAACTGAGCCCAAACTGGCCACCCACGAGCTATCTATGTGCTAGCTGAGCAACCACTGTTGAGCTGAATAGGAATGCTAATGGATAGATTGTTCAAGTACATTAGATCACTTTGTTGCCATGGAACTTGGAGCAAACACTTACATTGGATAAAGAAATATATAATATAATAGCATTTTAAGGACCAAATAACTCATGAAAATTCAGCTGAAAAGACTATGCAAAAGAGTATCAGAAGTTTGTGTGCATTTCTGGACGGAGTGTAGAGAAAGACAAGGGTAAAATAAGAAGCTCATAAATAAGTTAATAACAAAAACAAATCACAGCATACATTTCTGTCCAAAGGTGCAAAATTCAGTGCATGTCTATCCAGCTGTCTGTCGTATCAAGTCTCCAGGTGTGTGGTTAAAAATAAGCACAATATCTATCTACTCTAGCATATAGCATAATGTTTGTTGGTTGTTATGACACTCTGATTCTCAAATGCACCTATATAGATCACATGCAAAGCCACTTTTTGCAGATGACAACCAAGATAAGAAAACTCAATGTAACCATGCAGTGTTCCTTGATAAGTGAGGCTTTTAAATAGAGCAAACCGAATGCAAGTACTGGGAAACATTTAAGGATTTCCACTCACCCGCTTTACGTCTTTTCCAAATGTCTCGCTGTAACTGGTACCCAGGATTTCAAACTGGACATGAGAGTTTGCTCCATTGCTTCTGAAGTCCATTAAACCAGTTAGCCCAGAAATCCGTCCCTGAAGAGAATAACAAATAAGGTGTCCGCTCAGAAAAAAATACATCATTCAAAGCAGGCCGCTTTTATTGAACACTATTGAACTTTACTGGGCTGAACTGAAGAGAACTGAACCTGATCAAATTAGATCTAAGTGAGATGAATTGTAAAGTGACTTTAGACCTTTTGGATGGTGTCCAGCATGGACCAGCCTCCATTCCAGGGCTTTGTTGACTTCCTCATGCAGTTCAGACTGGCCATGCTGTGCCACTTCCTGTCTTCTAACTTCCGGTAGAAGGCATTGGCCAACATCAGCACGCTGTCATAAAGGTATAGACTAGATACCTGGACACAAATACACCAATAAATGTTGTAATTACTTTGTATTCTTTAAATGTAGTCAGATGCAATAGGTATTACAGGTATACAAACATGTGGCAGTATTCAACAACAAAAATCAGAAAACATATGCATTTTTGGTCATTAAGAAACACAACAACAACAATTTTAGGGTGCTTTAATTTTTGAAAAGGTAGAACAACAGCAAGGCTGACCTAAATCTGCTTCTTTTGCTGATTCAATTGAATACCAATGCAAAAAGATTATGGCAGACACAATTATACTAAACCACGTCTTAATTTTCAGTGCTTCAGTCAAAACGAATTCTTTTATTTAAATTTTTGCTTTTGAGTTCTGTTTGTAGCAATGCAAATTATCATATGCATTTGTTGTCTTTTTCTCAAAGAAAATTACAACACAGGCTCATTCCAAATACGTAGTCCTGTGGACGTTTCTGGAGACTGCGAATTATGTAGCCGGAGGTACATATGGCTGAATTTCAGTTTTTAAGTGAACAGATACTGATAAGATCAGGGGTTGGTTAATATGTGTGTGGTGGTTTGTCACATGTTGATTGGTCAGTTTGTATGTCTCAGTATTTGGGCTTTGGTCACATGGTCAAGAAAGATACAAAGTGGGTGGTAAACTTTGCTTTGTCTCTTTTCATGCTCTGCTCATTTCCTGCTCTGGAGTCTATCTTCACGGACTCAACTGATATCAGGCTCTCTTTGGCTGCATTTGCACTGCAGATCTTGATGGTCAATTCTGATTTTGTAACTGTATCCGATTTTTTTGATGATCGGCTTACATCATCTTTTAAACTTGACTCATATCCGATTGACTGAATTTACACTGCACACGGCAAAGAGGCACTGACCAGGAAAAAAAGAGCGGGTGCTGACTGACAGATGATAATAAAAGAGCGCTCTTTTCTCCATTCCTGTATTTGATCTGTTCGCAGGGTTCCTTTTTTTAAATTCTTCTTGATAAGTTGTTTTACTATAGTTTATGGCAGAAATGTTCTCATTTGACCAGTAGGCATCTTAATGTCATTTCGAGGGTGTGATTTACTGTATGCACATGATGTATGCAACAGTTTTAGCTTATTGTTTTTTTTCTCTTTCTTGTTAACATGCTTAAATACTTGTGCTATGTGGCAATATAAAAGCTTTTTTGTTCTAGTGTATGTGATTTTGTTTTTTTTTTTCTCTCGCTCCCTCCCTCTGTCTCTTCCCTTCTCTCTCAGGTAACTTTATTTTACATTTAAGCTGGGTACAATTAATATCATATGTTTTTTATTATTTCATGATTAATCATTTTATACAGTTATTTTGTAACTAATTCAGTTGTAGCCATATCAAATTATTGTCATTAAATTATTTCATTTTCAAGTATTCTGTGATTTACTCTTGATTAAACATCAACACTTAATTGCTCCATATTACAATACAATAAAATCACATAATAGCAACGCTCTCCCACATTTTTAGCTATTAATGCTGCCCTTATTAACGTTTTTAGTATAAAATTGCAGAAGGATGGTTTGACAATTTTTTTTTACAGTTTTTCTCCATCATACTCATAGCTTTTTAGTCATTCAGCAGAACTACAGTTTGAACTGCTGTAGTTTAAAACCCATTCTTACATGCTAAAGGTTAAAGTACACCACATGTCTGTTATTTCAGGCCCTTATGCTATGTTTCTTTTTTTGGTGTCAAAGTAACAGACAGTTTCTATCTGTGTTGCAGATATGCATAGGGAAATCAAACCCATCAAAGCACATGATGCCATGGTGTCTTTGTGATTCTTCTGTACTGAAATGTTTACTTGCTACTTCCCTTCACTAGGTCACACTCATGCTCTGATTCATTGCCGAATAACTAATCAGAGCACTTTCTTCAGCCGACGGTAAAACTATTATTCCCTGATTTCCCTGATGATCCAAGAAAAATGTGACCCAGCCTTAAGAGTTCTCTTATTTTCTAATAAGAGTAGCCAGTATTTTATTGTGCATGTCAATGCCTCTAGCTGTGTTTAGGAGTTTAAGAACAATGCAAATCCGGAGATTTCAATGGAGTGTTGACAAAAGTGAAACTCCACAATGGAACTTAAAGTACAAGCATTAACTGTCCCAGCTTTTTCATATCTTGTGCATTGCTATGTGTGAATCGCTGTCAGTTTCCTCAGTGTGTAGGAAGCCCTAATTTTTTTTTTTTTAAATGTAGCTGAAAAGGGCTCAACAACCAATCCACAAACTAAAATTGTTCTCTAACTTGGTGAAAGACAGATCGAGTATGTGAATGTGTCTGCTGTCTCTCTTTGAGAGCGAGAGCAAGGGAAAAAGAAAGAGCGCTGCAGGAGATTTTTGCATGGCTCTGCTCCTGCAGAGAGCAGCTGTCGTGCTGAGAGACACCTGGAGAGAGAAAAGACACCCTGAACGACAGCACTGTTATCGTCAAGGAGACTCCAGTCTCGGGGCCCGAACGGCCAAACTCAATGTCCCCTCAGACATGTGATCCTGACAAAACAACACACTTATGAGAAGATCAATGCAAAGAGAGGGGGAATGACGGCATGACTGAGAGAGGAAAGAGTGTAAGTGAAGGATGCTGGGAGGAATAAAAAGCAGCATTTTACAATGAAGATTACGTCTTTATCCACTTTTTTTTAAATAGCTGTCTACAAGAGAGATGAGAGAGCTTCACTTCTGCTACAGCCGTGAGCTGCGAGAGAGAGCTAAGAGTCACCAAGAGTGATAAAACAAACCTTTTTTTTTCATTTCAAACACTTCACCCATTTCAAGTAAGGAAGACAAGCTGTGATGAATTCATCTGCTCTTTGTCCTTTCATTCAGTTTGCATCCCTGCTAGGCTTTACAACTGGCCGGTATAATGCATCCAAGTCTTTCTGCATTTAAGGGATAGGATTTGCACTTGATTTTGTCAGATGTAGTTTGTCCTTTACCTGTAGCTTACTTATGTTGCATCTAAACAACTAAATTCGATTTCATTCAGTAGTAAGTGTCAATTTTAAAGGATTATACAGAAAAGTAAACTAGATTGCACATGTTTTGCATACTTTTTTCCAATGGTGAAGATTTAAGCCAATCAGTACACTTCTAAAGCATTCCATTGGTTGACATATTTCTATGGATTTGCTCATACAAAGCTGCTAAGAATTATACACCCTATTTTTTTAAAGGAGCGGTCTGAAGTGTGTTTTTAAGACCTGATTGTGTAACCAGGATTCAAAGCATTGCATGCTCATGCTTCATTTGTAAAAAAAAAAAAATCATGTTATTTTTTCATATATCTCACTTTGATTATACACGGCTACTCAGCTAACATGAAAACGACTGTCATATTTCCTAGTTCCTCCAAAAGCTAGCCCTTAAGAGGCTCTGATTGGTCAGCTCACATAATGTGCTGTGATTCGCAGATCAGCTCCACATCACCAGAAAAAGTTCACAGCCCTAAAAGCATGCACTTCGCCTCTGCTGTGTAAACACTGCCAGTCGGAGTAGCTGTTAGCCCTATTAGTTTGAGCCTGAATCAGACAGAAAATGAAATGGACACAGCTGAACCTTACGCCTGCACTCTAAAATAACATCTGACAAGTGTCTTTCACATACATTCTGAATAAGCATGTGTAAGTAATATGAAATATTCAAAAATCTTTAGCAAGTTCGTAATTTTTGATGCAGAAAACACAAAAAGCAGCCTTATAGAGAGCCACTGCAGCGCTGGTGATGATTGTGGCAGTTTACAGGGGTTTGACAGATAAAGTCTAAATTGTTGGCGGTGCCAAACACCATTTCACGTTGTTTACATCCTTGTTTAGAACCTTGCTACAACATAACATTAACGCTAGGCACTATGCATGTAATAGATCATTTTTAACAAATGAACATACTTACAGGTTGTGGCTCACAATCCACAGCTTCTGCTATTATGGTTGGATAGTATGGTTTTTAGCTGAATTCAGCACTGAACTGGGAGATTCTGGAAACTGTCCTTTGTCAAATGCTATAGCTATATCTGTTTTATTATTCTCTGAAACATAATTAAAATTAAATTGTAAGCACTTCTCTCTTTGTGTCGTGTCCCCTGGAAGCCCAAATACAGAAACAGAAGAAGCTCTGTGGAAATAGCAGCATTTGGATGGCAATTTAGCGTTCTCTCCTATAACATTACAGCACCTCTGACCATGCCCTTTCACTGTGTGGTGAATGTGCATAACCTGAAGTGTTTGTGATCTCATTAACCCAGATGTATTTTTTTGTAGTCCCCAAATTTTGTTCACTGTAGGCTTTGCTAAGCTAACTCTGTAAAAGCCAATGTCTCACTCCGCACTGAGCTTTGAGCGTATTACATTCAGATATGTTGTTTATGTTCACACAGCAACATTCCACATCAACTAAAGTTTAAAATATGACATCTTTGTGGACCACTGCTTTAAGGAATATCTGGCTAAATGAAAAGTTGCAGTAAAGAACTTTGACTTTTGTATCGACATGTGATTGAAATGTAAAATTGATCTTCTTAACTAAACTTACATGCATTTACTCAAGAAAATTATTTTATTCAAATCTTTTACCCAGAACTATAATTTTTTTAAGTTACTGATGTAAATCATGTTACATCAAGAAAATCTGTCAACACACAAAATAATTTCTCAATTTAACTGTTGTTTTTGTTAAAACAATGTTAAATTAGTTTTAAACCCATTCTTACATGCTAAAGGTTAAAGTACACCACATGTCTGTTATTTCAGGCCCTTATGCTATGTTTCTCTTTTTGGTGTCAAAGTAACAGACACTTTCTAAGGTTCAAAAAACCTTAAGGTTGCGCTCTCATCCTAGTATTTGTGTTTGTTTTGTCAGTGGCGTGCTGTTTTATTCTCAGTGCCTCAGTCTAGTTGGTTTCTTGGTTTGCTTGTGTTGTCTTTGTGTCATGTGCTCTCCTGTCTATAGCCTAGTCCCACCCTCTGTGTTATCCCATTATTAG